TAATAATACATATCATGGGAAATGCACATTAATATAGGGATAATATAATGAATTTACTGATAGGAATAGTACACATGAATAGGGGTTTTACCAAAAAAATTGTCGGCGAAAAATATTATTAGCGACTCTGCTAGTATCTTCTCACACCACAAAAAATAACAGGAGGAATATTAAGTAATGAACGCAACATAACATCCTGGAATATGTGCCTGTTTTCCTGTACGAGTGGTTTTCAAAATGGATGAAATGATGAAATTAGGTAGCGAAATTGTTGTCGCAGTAACATCAGCATTATTGATTGCAAGAGGTGCTGATTTCACACAAGTTGTGGAAGAATTTAGTGGGTAAAACATAGTAGTGAGACACACAAATGACTTTTTCATGGCAAATAATATTATTTTTTGTTATAATGACTTGTATTAGGTCACGAGTGGACTCCATTTTAGCGCGCATATGCTGTTTGGCTTGTTGTACGATTTCTCTGCGGGAAGTGTAACCAACACCAGTTTACGAACATGAGTAGAAGAGGTATTCGTCACAGGAAAATAGCATCACATTTGACCACAAGGAGCTATGAGTAAACAAGCTGTTTTGTACTACAGACATTTATGGATTAAAGTTATGTTTCCACCATAATGCGTGCTGGTCATGAAAATTACCCCGCTCCTTCTAAGTCGTTAGGTTCTCTTACATTTGTGTTATATTTGAACAATGCTGAAATATAAACTCCATGTTTTCTACATCGTTGGAATGCACTGTTTCTACCAGTTTCACGCTGCAATCAAATCAGATGGCTAAAGTTTCTACATTTTGGGCTAAATATTCATTTAGTATATCACTCTGCTATCACGTTAACAAACGATACGAAGTGTAAGACAGTGGTCAGATATTTAGTCCACAGATAATGATGATGATGATGAATAACTGATCGAATAGAATGGGAGAAAACGAAATTAGGGTTCTAAAGTCTACGAGTAAGATGGTAAATAAAACATTTGAATGGTGACAAATTAGGTCCAAAATTTTTTAAACTGAAGATGAACTAGAAGGAAATCGTAGTGTTCTTGGTGCCTAACCATACGATCTTTGAAGCTAAAATACAATTACCGAGAAGACTTACATTCAACGTGCAACGAGCTGGCATGGCTCAGCCATCTAAGCACGTAACGTATGTACAACTTATTCCTTTTCATATTAAATAATAATGAAACATTTCTGCAAGGGCAGGCACACTACATTTTTGCAGGCACGATCTACAAATTACAACATTTACTGGCTCACATTATGCATCCCAAGTAGGGTTGTTAGATAAATATATCTGTAAAAGTGAATGTCAGTTCATTTGTGCAGATTTCGTGGAGCGTTAATGATTAGGTATATGCTTAGGTGTTACACCAGGTAGTCTTCAAAATATTTTCCAAAGTGGCATCGCATCCGCGTTACACACCGAATCCAATATAAAGGAGGGAGGGTGGCGTTACTGACCAGCAAACATGAAGGTGGGGAGATAACTTCAATCCACCCATGTCTGTAGGGCAGAACATTTTGTTTAATTACGGCTCCTTATGGTTTAGTGGGATGCCACGAACTTATGGTATTGAAGCTGATCTATTCACGCAAAATACCTCTTTAAGTCGTGTTACGAACGTTGAATTGGTTTCACTTCCTACCTAGAAATCCTATTACAAGCAAACTAGACAATTCGCTAATATACGAAGCATAATCAAGACCCTATAATAACTGGGGGAAAAATATTTAAAAAAAAAAACGAAATAGGCTCTAATAGCTTCGATATTAAAGGGAAGACAGCCAAATGTATATCACAATACTGTTTCTAGCACTATATTTTATTTTATAATCACACATAATCTTATACTCTCAGCTCTTTTCTGAATCGCCCCCATTTGTCAGTTGTATGTCCACTCACACCTTGTCAACACTTATTTTCTATAACCTATTAAAATGCTCTTTCTTAACATATACCTTAATAAAGGAAAATTAGACTGAGTAATCATACCTTAAGCATTCTTTCATGAATATTGGCTACTCTGCCTCTCGTGTTTTCTTTTACTTGCTCCCTCTTTCAGCCCCCTTGAGATATGGAACTGGTGACTTCATCCTGCACCATCCTTAAAGCCTTGGATATCCCAGAAGGAAATAAGGTTGCGATTTTTAGAAGCCCATACCTTCAATGGACCTATTCTTGACCATCAGTCGCACATTCGCAACGCGACTTTCATGAAGCGCGCCAACTGTAGTACTGATTTAAACCATCGACATTCATATCTTATAAATTATCAACCCAGCTATGTAATTTATTGCAGTGTATATTGTATCATTTGTATCAATTTGATCTTGCCTGTAAACTGGCATGCCTCATGTAACAAACTGTTATTTGAGAATAAATTATTATTATTATTATTATTATTCTATCGCTAGCCCAAATTTGTTCTTTAGAAGTGCTTAACATCATATTGCTGATTATCATGATACCACGAGTCGGAATAGACAGTGATGTGACTTCCACGTGAGATCTTACAGATCATGTAGTCACATCATGGCAAATATATGGTTTTGGAATTAAGTCCATTATTACAGTAACAAAGATAAATGTACTGATAAGAACATGGACCATAATTCTACTAACTCACAATAATTTTATATAACCTGATGATCGATTACAGTTGAGCAGCATCCGTAGGTTTATTGAATTATCCAGAAATTCGTCTGGCTCAACTCCGGGATTATTTCAATTGCTTCCTAGCATTCGTTTGACACCTCATCCGAAAACACCATTATCAAACCCTCTTCAGTCTTTAATGATATCACATTTTTGGAATAAGTTTAAAACGGATTTTAAACTATGAATGAACTCCATCAGCCTGTCCTGGTGGCATTAGACCGATAGTCTGGATAGTACTGAAGGAAAAATGGGGATGATTATGTTATATCCACTCCAGTAGATCGCATTTTTGATTCAGTGCTCGACCACATTCATGAGGAAATCTATTTAAGATAAGATAAATAAGAGCATACATTAAAACCAAGGATAAATTTCAAATGGACAGAATTAGTAAATCGCGTAATTCCTTAGAGAAAGATATAATATAGCATATTTTGTGAGACCGGATGGTTACATAGGAACTTAGGGAAACTACTCTGGATACTCCTCCTGAATCAAATAGCTGATAACTAAGTAATATATTTGCCCTTGAAAGAATTCAACCTCTATGTGACCAAGAACATCTCCCTACTACCTGAGAGTAGATTTCAAAGGTGTTTGTAAACCTGAATTTTGATCCTTACCGGGATAGAAATAAAATTGGGTTATCTGTTCTAATGCCAGGTCATATATATATATATATATATATATATATATACTAGCGATCCTCTATTAATAAATCACAGTTTCCAAGATTGCTGCGAGTGGTTTAACTTGTAGACCACCAACGTAGATGATCTATATCGAAATGATTGGATACCTACTCGAATTAGACGGGAATGGTGTTACGAACCAGGTAACGTCGAAGTCACACCTCGTGATCACCACCTTACGTGGACTACCCCATTGACGTGTCAAGTTAGCACAGATGCTTTGAAGGCTGCACAACACAGAGGACGGTATTACAGAAATATATTGGTTAAAGTAGATACAAGCGAAATTAAGACCACTGCCACATGGGCCAGTCCAAGGCATATGGTTAACTGATGCGCGACGACAATGTCGTTCTCAGTTTGTAGGAGATTCGCTCGACTGCATAAACTGATGATTCGCGCGAATGATAACGTCGTCAAACCACCAATTGAACTGGACGGGTTTAAAATCGTTGAGTAGTTGAACAGCCGATTGATATGCCGAAATCATCTGTTAGATAACAGCCACGAGGAGACAATACTTCACAAGATAAAGTACGACGTCGGAGTGGAATAATTACAACAGTTAGGATGCGTTATGAAGTCTAATTAACATCGTTCTTACGTATACTGACCGTTGCACCGAACGTTTGTTTGGGTATTATTAGCGTAACATTTGGATGTGTGAATAAAAAGATTTACAAAAACTATGGTTGGGTTCGTGGAGAATTTTCGAGGACATTTAGATATTTTTCAAACACGTTTTGTGGCTATACACACGAGTGGTTGATATTTTAACAGATATATTACACAGGAGCATTTACATGTTGCTAATGCTTGTTAAAGAACCACGACAGCCGATTATAAACGTAGTTGATTAGTTAGTTCTATCGATTGAACTAATTATTTAGGTTTAAATGCTAATCAACATTGACATGAAGCAACGAAAGTTCACAGTGATAGATTAACATAGGCGATGATAAAAATGAAAAAGAATAAGTATAGAATGCAATAAAAAGGATTATAGTGATAGGTTGCGTTATTCGGAGTCTTGCTCACCAGTGTAGTTCATCACGGATACGTCGTACCAACTGGATATCCTTTGGCATAATAGTGACACGCTTAGCATGAATAGCACACAAGTTTGTATCTTCAAACAATCCAACCAAGTACGCTTCACTAGCTTCCTAAAAAGCAGACACGGCTGAGCTCTGGAATCGTAGATCAGTCTTGAAGTCTTGGGCGATTTCTCGGACCAAACGCTGGAATGGGAGTTCGCGAATCAGAAGATCGATACTCTTCTGGTAACGACGGATTTCTCGGAGTGCGATAGTCCCAGGTCTGTACCTATGTGGCTTCTTCACGCCCCCTGTGTCTGGGGCACTTTTGCGCGCAGCTTTGGTGGCTAGCTGCTTTCGAGGCGCCTTACTTCCGGTTGACTTTCGAGCAGTCTGTTTAGTTCGTGCCATTCCGAAACACAGAGAGACGATGAGTTAAAAGACTTGAGCATTACTTGGTAACAGTTATATTGTTAGCTTTCAAAGTACTTATGAAAACTGAGTTGCAGAATGGATAACAATTTCAAATTCTCCATGCTTTGATTACGTCGTCCATAAGATTGAAATTTGTACCCAAATTATTCCAGAGATTTCTTTAACCTTGGTTGCAGTTTGTGGTGGTTTCAAATCATCGCGTGGTTTATTGTTAATGGCATCTATATCTCTTCTAAACCCGAAAGCAGAGTTCGCGAAGGCTCAGCATGCATTTAGTATCAATTTGGCCGCTGCAAGAGGACTCTACGACGTTTTGAAAACCAATCTTGGCCCTAAGGGGACCATGAAAATGTACGTTAATAATGCTGTCTAATGTCCGTTTTAGGCTTGTTTCAGGTGCAGGTGATATCAAGATTACCAAAGACGGTAATGTTCTTCTTCATGAAATGCAAATACAACATCCTACTGCAAGTTTGATCGCGCGTGTAGCGACCGCTCAAGATGATATGACAGGTGATGGGACAACTTCAAATGTCCTTCTGATCGCTGAATTACTTAAGCAGGCAGATGTTCATACTTCTGAAGGACTTCACCCGCGTTTGATCACAGAAGGTTTCGATATTGCCGCAAACAAATGTTTGGATATACTATCCAAGTGTCGAATCGATTGCCCGTCAGAAATGCCAGATAGGAGCACACTCATATCCGTTGCGGCGACATCACTCAATACAAAAGTCCATTCTGATTTGGCTAACCTCCTAACTGAGGTAGTTTTTGGTTTACTTGACACCCGTAGCATGTTGTAGATGCAGTATTATCAATTCGGCGACCAAACGAACCTTTAGACTTGCATCGGGTTGAGCTGATGCAAATGCAACACAGAACCGATATGGATACAACACTTGTAAAAGGGCTAGTATTAGATCATGGGGGTAGACACCCAGACATGCCTAAGCGTGTAACTAATGCATTTATTTTGACTTGTAACGTCTCCTTCGAATACGAAAAAACGTAAGTTAACTTTACATTTATCAACAATTAGTGAGGTGAATTCCGGATTCTTTTATAAGACAGCAGAAGAAAGAGCAGCTCTTGTAAAATCTGAACGGGAGTTTATTGACTCGAGAGTTCAGAAAGTGATCGCTCTGAAAAGAAAAGTATGTGGTGAGGATAGTGGTGGTGACAAACCTGGATTCGTAATAATCAATCAAAAGGGAATTGATCCATTTTCGTTAGACGCCTTCGCTCGAGAGGGAATACTTGCTCTACGTCGTGCTAAGAAACGTAATATGGAAAGAGTAACTCTTGCATGTGGTGGATATGCGCTAAACTCAGTCGACGAAATGACACCTGATTGTCTTGGACATGCCGGCCTGGTTTATGAATTTGTTTTGGTACGTTGTTTTGAATGTCGACGTTATTTTTAGGGCGAAGAGAAATATACATTTATTGAAGAATGCAAAAGTCCACAATCAGTAACTTTGTTGATGCGTGGTCCTAATAAACATACACTCAACCAAATCAAAGATGCGGTTAATGACGGGCTGCGTGCTATAAAGAACACATTAGAAGATGGTAAGCAAGTATTTACATTAGTTTCTGTTTATTTATGAATACATGCAATACTCGGCATTTTGAAATTTTCACGTCAAGTGGTAAATCGTGCCCCCTGAAATCTGATTCAGCACCGCACAAAATCTTACTAATGTGTCTCTCTATTCGTGACTTCCATTGCAGTACATTTATTTTATTGATTTATGTTCTATAAAGTGCGGCTGTCATGATTTATATGTGTTTACTATCAGGCAAGTGTAACGTTTGTCAGTTTATTTGCTGTCTTTTCAATAATCTCCCGTGTATTCAGTATAATGAATTAAGAAAAATAGTCGGTTATAGTGAAGTTAGTTGAGGCGCCAACTGTGAGCGTAACTATCTTTAATAAAATAGAACTTTTATCTACACCTAGACTTCGGTTTGGGCACCCGGCAAGTATCACAGCCCTCACACATATCAAATGAGATTTGTGTGGCGTATATGTATCTGATGCCTCCTTGCACCAGTATTTATGTGTTCAAATAAATAAAGACCACCCACCGAAAACGATACACGGAACACTATTGTCCAACTGCTTAGGTAAAAACGGCAATCAGGCCTTTGACTCAGCTGAGTTAGAGAGACTAAATTTTAGAAAAGAGTGGCTGCTTGTGAATGTTTATTTCTAAGACAATTTAGTTTTAAGAGTCAGATTACGAAACTAGTGTTAGATGCATTGTAGAACCCTGCACATGTGCGTCAGTTCGTCCCCGTACCATAGTAGCACAATGAAATAAGAATTTTATAGCAAGTTGCATGGTAACAGTAGGAGAAATCAAATGTAGAAAGGAACTAAGATTTCCAAATTCAGACTGATATGTTAAGAAGGGAAAATCGTATATGTAAAAACAGATTGGACTTTCAACGTTTCTCTCACCTATCTGGCCCAAGCTCATACAAGGATATATAATCAAACGTCAACGTTATCGAATATTAATAAGCACATAGTTCTTCAGTTAACTTTATACTTAACAGGTTATCTAAACATGTTAGCAACGTTAAAATTAACAATTCGCCATAGTGCGTATGAGACATCTGGTGTGTAAAGAAGTATTTTTCATAATCCCAGTTGTTCATAACAACAGTGATGTCACCTTTGTGTGGTCTCGTAATAACAACTTTTCTGTCTTTATGCAGCTGTTTTAGAACGTTTATTTCCTCCTTAGATAGATTAGAAACGTTAGGCTTTTGATTTAATAGTACAGCCGAGATTTTAATCCTCAGGACATACCTGTTTATCTGAAATTTCGCTCAAAGCAGGTCGATCAACGTAATAATTTCAGAAGTCAACAGTTCCCGTCTGTTCTCTCACCTTAGATCCACTCACGTATACATACCACTGCTATCTTAACACACCAGGTGTTTCATACACACTACGGTAAATTCTTACTTCCAACATTGCTAACATATTTAAATAACCTATTTAGTATAAAGTCAACTGAAGAACCATGTACCTATTAGTATTCAATAATTTTGGGGTTTGATTATATTTCTTCGGATGAGCTTGGACCAGACAGGCAAGCGAAACGTTGGATTTACTTAAATTTACTTACTTAAAGTATATAGCATCTACCAGGGAAGTCCTACTCACTGCCTTCTCGTGGCGGGGATGTTGTTTACGAAATTGAGAGAACGAAAAGCGAATGCCCGGTGCTTTAACCGGGTTGGTGGACACGGAGAGTTCGCCTAGGGGAATTGGAGAACCCTTATTTCAAACCAATGGTGCATACAGGCTCCAGTACCCTGTCGGAACAAATGGCGTATGAACCAATCGTTAGTCACCGGCTACCACGGGACTGCATCTCCTTACGTCGCCCCACTGCCTTGTGGATCAGACCCTTAGGTCAAAGGCTCCGGGTGTGGCTCCCTATGGTAACCACCTGCTTCGGTTTGGGCACCCGGGCAGTACCACAGCCCTCAGACGAATCAAATGAGACGTGTGGCGCATATGTATTTGGTGCCTCCTTGTACCAATATGTGTTCAAAGAAATGAATAAAATCCAATCTCCGAGATTTTACAAATATAATTTTTCCTGGTGATTAACTAATGTAGCCTAAAATATTAGTATCCGTAAGCATATGATACTAGGCTGAAGCCCGTAAACACGAAACCTGAGAAACTTATGTTAACATATCATGCATTTTTCAAATGTAAAGGTGGATATCTAAGTAACATTCACATTTCTTAAGGTTATTATATGTCTTTCAAAAGACGAGATATCTGTCTACCAATCAAATTGTTTATATACTCCACAACAATCATCTCTGTATTGATATATATATACGCTGTAGGCCTTCGGTAATAATTGACGGCGCTTTAGATATGTAAAGAAAAACCTTTTCGTCGACTACCACTTGGTGACTTGCATAAACCAAATATTCTCAGGATTTGCTTTTTTATTAAGTCGCATTTTTCTAAATTTTAGAGTGCGTTATTCCAGGAGCAGGAGCTTTTGAATTAGTCGCTTATCGCGAGCTATGCAAATTTGCACAGTCTGTTAAGGGTCGTGCTCGTCTCGGTGTTCAAGCATTTGCAGATGCATTGCTTGTTATTCCCAAAGTCTTAGCCAGGAATGCCGGTCACGATGCTCAGGAAACAATGGTAAAATTGCTTGAAGAAGCGACTAAGGTGGATAATCGCTGCAACAATATTATCCCTACACAGCTTGTAGGAATTGATCTTACTACAGGGGAAGCGATGATCCCTGCTCAAGTTGGGGTTTATGACAACTTTATTGTGAAAAAGCAAATAATTAATTCCTGGTAAGCTTGTTGAGTCGTATTTCGTGTTTTGTGGATGAACATCTGTTTAGCTATTTTTTACTGATCAGTAATTTTATTTTTTAATTATGTTGTGACTTGAACATGGATCAATTTTTACCCCGTGCCAATTGTTGTGTCCTTGACCGAAAGATTAGAGAGCAGCGAATTATCGATCGAACCAAAGACGCGTAAAACACGTAAGAACGACCTAGAGTTCTGATTGGCCCTGCTTCCCTGTCTAGCCCAGCCAGTGGAGTCCAGAACGCAAGTCTCAGCCTGTTTATATACCAATCAACCCGACCACAACGTACCCATAAAATAGAAAATAACATTTGTACAATTAGCCAGAAGTGGCTGTGAATGAGGGAGGTAGCAATTAACAGATAGGGAATAATTCATGAATGGTAAACCGTACAATAGTAGTTCATAGGTCAACATAAAGCTCATAATAAGAGGGGTATGAATATGAACAGATTAGTTGCATAACAATTATACGATAAAAATATACTCATAATATTGATCTATAATTGGATCCCAAAAATTACCATTCATTATTCTTATCGGGACACAACAAATTATTTAAATGCTCAGTGAGATTCAACTAAAATAATATACTCTATAGTATTTTGAGTTGTTCATTTGTTTGCGAAATAACTGATCGTTGATAGCTAGCAAATTCAAAGTTCAGTTACAGATGGATATTTCAAAACCGGCTAAAATTAGCTGATCTCGCTAGAAAACAATAGAAGTTGAATTATTTTCTGAAAGTTTGAAATATAACGAATAGTTGTATAGCGCGTTCATTTTGTTCTTAATTAAAAATGCTTGAAAATACTTTCGACAGCTATTGCTCCAAAATTTGTCTGTAGGTTGGGTTAGGGATGTAGTACTAGGTAAAAGTGGCAAGTCGATTAATGAAGTAATGTCTTCATTAATTGAGGTGGTTGGGGTATGTTTCACGTATGTCCAACCATCGCCCACCTCGACGAGCAGTGTTGTCTGGCGTAGAATTAGATTAGGAGAAAAATAGGAGCGATCAAACCAAGACGTGGCACTAATCCATGAAGTCGTTGATAATCATACTGAGCCATCTTAGCAGCAGGTGTAGACTACCTGGTTGTAGTCCACCAATCGCTAGAGGCTCTCAATGAACATGACTCGAAATCGATTTTAATGGTGCACGTGCACCCATTCTTTGTCTTCCCTCAAAATATGAGATTTTGAATTCCTCATAATCTTATTATTTCAATGACTCATATTTACCAAGGGATTTTCCCTAAAAAAATCATCTCTTTATACCAGTGGTGTATGGCAACTGGAGTTGATGTGACAGGTACTACGTTTATTTTGACTCACTAACTCCTTGCATAAAAATGATCCCGATTTCAACCCAGCTCTAGCCATCATAACCACTATCCATCTGAAACTATAATTTAACTACTTATCCTATCGTTAGTACTGTGATGCTAATTTTGTATTCGAAAACTGTTTTTAATTCGTTAAGTATTGTTGACACTATCTTCGTCTGTCTCCCTAGAGAATGACCTCTTTGGAGATTTTCTTACTAAAATGCTAAAGGGAGATGGCAACTAGGTTGATGAAGTAGTGAATATTTATTGGAAGAGGTGATTGAAATGTGTATCATATATACCCAACCATCATCTACCCCGGCGCACTTTGTTAGATGGTTTAGAAGTAGTTCGAAGTGCAGCTAGAGATTGCCAAACGAAGATGTGGAATTAGTCCATGACATCATTGGCTGTTGGACTGAACTGTGTTGATAGATACAGACTACGTTGATAGATTCCACTTGGAAATCGCAATGAGTGATTGTAGATGTTGAGTAACAATGGTCAGAATCAGTCGTAGTGTCGCAGATACATCCACTTTTTCGTGAGCTTATCACTTGTTTTATTACTTGAATCCGTTCTTCTGTAGTTGTTTTTAAGCCTCATCTTTTTATTACTGTTTATACGACTCCGGTAATTTTATCTATCTTTCCAAATGGTGCTGGAACTTCGGTTGATTCATGTCCACGTCCCTTACAACTGATTGAATCTTTATAAAATATGTAATAAGTGTTGATCGCTGCTAATAATTTATTTGTAACTACGCCTTTTACCATATTCATCTAAACCGGTCATCCAAACAGATATAATTATGGCACCGACCGATTTAATGCATAAAGTTATAATTTTCGTCAAGCAAATTCGGACCTACAAACTAGACGATGTCTTGGTGGAAAGTATCTTTTAAGCTTCAGTCATAGTCTAATCCTCCACAAATATTCAAGTTGTTTATTTCTATCTCATCCTTAAAAGACTTGCAGTATAGTAATTCCTGTTTTCTTAATCTTAAATCTATGCATGCAAATTAGACGAACAGCGAAAAGCTCTACCATAATATTTTGAAAAGTGGTACACCAGCTTGCAATACAGTGTTTATATCTTTTTTTTCAGTTCTGTTATTGCTTCCAACATATTGCTTGTTGACGAGATAATGCGAGCCGGAATGAGTTCTCTCAAAGGTTAAATTCTTGCGTTTGTGAATTTATTAAATATATTTGTTTATGTTGTCCTTAAACCAATTATCAATTTTTAATTTGTCTTTTTCTGCAAAATTGTACGACTCGTCTGTTAACAATATCAGCCTTAAAAACAATAATTCTGTTCTCAAATGCGGTTGTAAGATCCCTCACCTTATCATGCAATGACATGGCCTGATGCAATCAGTGGGTCGTATCACGCAAGCTTACAAACATGCTTCAATTGTTAGATGCCTGTTTTAGTACGCAGTCAGAAAACGCTCAGCAACTACAAATACTGTTCATGCAGAGAGAACCACGTGCATACCGTAAGTGTTGAAGTACCACAGGTGTTGCGGCAAGTCTCATGTATCAAGTAGCGTTTGCTTAGAGCGCTATTGAAAAGAAAACCCTTAACTCCACGTTCCGTACTAAGAGACTGATTAGCCATTACACGCTTAAAGTGAACATTTTATTGGGAACGCAGTTCAGAGTAATAAGTAACTGTTGTCGTTCGTGATTACCAACTCTTCAATATGAGCTAGGCCTAATAAATATGTTGTATATGATAAGTCCTAAGTTAACTTCCTTCTCACGGCTAGCACAATGCGTAGTTGGAACGTGTTTCTTGTTTAAGAATATTTTGACCCATGGATAATTGCAAATTTCTAAGAAAAACTCTTCGGCAGTAAATAAGTTGTTGATACTTGAATAGAAGTCAGTTGAGTAGTTCGCTATCAACCTACACTATTATGTATTATTGCTACTTATATTAAAAGGTGAATAAGGTACAGTTGGGTTGTAATCAATGACATCTTCAGGTTTAACCTATGCAGCTGCATACTTTCAACCGATTTTTTAGACGTTGCGGGCCAAGTGATGTACGTTTCGCTACCTGATTCAAACTTTATTTATTTAAACACATCGGTACAAGAAGGCACCAGATATATATGCGTCGCATAAGTTATTCGATTTGTGTGAGAGCTGGAATATTATCTGAGTGCCCAAACCGAAACAGGTGGTTTCCTTAGGGGGGCACATCCGGAGCTTTCCATCTAAAGGTTTGATCCGAAAAGCAGTGGAACAGCGACAGGAGATGCAGTCCAATGGTATCTGGTGACCAATATTTGGTTCATACGCCATTCGTTCACTCACGATACTGGAGTCCATGTACACCATTGGTTTGGAAACATGGTCTTTCAGCTCTCTTAGGTGGGTCGTCCATATCCACCAACCCGGTTTAGGCTCCGGGCATCCGCTTTTCGTTCTCTCAATCCTGCAAGCAGCACCCTGCTGTAAGGCGGTGAGTACGACTTTCTTGGAAGTGGCTGTATATGTATGGCCATGTGAGGGCATTTCGTGAGGGAGAGTTGACTATCCCCCCTCTCGGCCGTACCAGGGCATTTAGCGGCTCTTGATCATTAGTTTATCGGTACAGTGCTACGTTGCGGTTTCAATTACAAGGCCACCATGCATTTCCGTAGTGAAATGAAACTAAATCGTACCTGTGTTTGGTCTGACATGATAACAAATCCCGTTTACTTGGTTACTTGTGAGAATATACATAATAACTATCAACAAAACGAGTTTGTAGACACGACACTCACAGTTCTACCCAATCGTATAATTATGTGGAAACTACAGTTAATTACTATCTGGGTAATATCCGCATTCTTTGCAACATAGTGAGACCAGTGACAAATTCACCAGGGTTAGTAAGCACATTCTACTGCGTAAAGTAAGTAGATACGGGTTGTCTGTAAAACTAAATATATCAGTAAATGGGGTTTTAGTGCGATGCACTACACGTGAGAATGAGTCGAAACCACTCAACTTATTTTAATCTGATTAGGCTATATGTAATACTCAATATTGTGAATCTTGATATTTCAACATATCAGAACTGATGTTGAAACAGACAAGTTTTAAGATCAGTTTGTGATACTACCACTACTAACGCACGTCTGATACCTGGGAAATGTCGCATATCACCGGTATTTTTAAACAGCGACGTATGGCGAGGAAATTTCTCAATAATGGGATAAACTGAAGTCAACACAATTTATTCTGTCATAAGACATATCAATATGATAAGATTTGAAAATAATAGTGACTTGTCAAGAAAGGTAAGAATCATGTACAGGGAACCACTAGCGGTTCTTCCTGTTTGGAATTCATTAGTGATATTTGTAATGAAATCAGACTATATGAATAAATATCACAAAAGTGAGAAACTATATATATATATATTGCAAGAGCACGTTTTTAACAAATGCAAACCATAATATTTCCTCACAATAATACTGTAGCAATAAATCAGGTTTTAAGTGAAAGACTTTTACTTAAATATTGTTAGAATGCTATAAACACAGTCTTCTTATTTCGAACATTAAAAAGGAATGAATAAGAAGAGTAAAATAGAATATCTCGACGTAGTGATTTGATGACATTCAGAACTGCCCAGAATTCCCGAGGAAATCACTTAGAAGGTCGACGTTTGAAGCGGTCGATGGAACCTGGAAATATCACACACAGTATTAGTTTATGGTGAAAATAATTTAATTCAGATTATTTCTAAGTAATTGCACAGTTCGAGTTAAACCAGGACACCTAATTTTTGGTTCTACAAGACAAAATTTCATGTGAAATATCTAAGATTTAAATCAAAATAACGTAGGTGAATGAAGTCATTCTCAATAAGTTGAGATGGCGTACTGTTGTATGCTTATAAACAAACAGAATAGTTTGAAAATAATGAGCAGCAAGAATCTAAGGTGCTGCCGATTGCTGTTTTTCAGGTGTGGGAATATGACTTAGGATATTCAGGAAAATATCCCAAAAATTATTCTGTTAAGTCTAACATTATCCTTGGACTTGAGATGGTGTCATTTTCTTATTGGTCAATATTTATTTCACGTCATTTTCCTACTGGTCAGTATTGTTTTTTTATTTTATTGGTACGTTGTGGTCGGGTTGATTGGTATATAAACAGAGTATGCTTGAAATACAATGATTCATATATCAGAGGCTGAGACTTGCGCTCTGGACTCCACTGTCTGGGCTAGACAGGGAAGCAGGGCCAATCAGAACTCTAGGTCGTTCTTACGTGTTTTACGCGTCTTTGGTCCGATCGATAATCCGCTGCGCTCTAATCTGCAATTCACAGTTATAACAGACTGACTACTGTACAAAAACTTTAAAGGATCGAACGGACATAGCATGACTAGCGAGGAGTTATCACTTATATAATCCTATCTGGTTCAATGGATTCTGGTGGATAATTATCCATATTTGCTTAAAACTAAATTTGAGACAGCTAATGAACTGGAATAAGGGTGTTTGTCGCCGCTTACTGCGACAGAAGTAATTGTTTTTGATCTCACTATGAATACGGTTGTGACTTACCAAAAGGACTTAATTGTGATATGAAAACACCACATTCACGTAAGTACATGTATTTTTCAAAGCCTACAAATACTCCCAAGATGTGTGGAAATTTAATTATATTTAAAAACTATTTTACAAATATAACATCAGTTATCTATGATAATAATTTAATAAACAGATGTTCACAATAATGATACTAAAATTATCCTTAGCACTACAACAAGATGAATAACTAGGTAACCAAATCGTTTTGCTGTCTTTCATTACGTTAATCTTGTTTGTCGAGATTATGTCATCTAATCAAAGACAGATTAGGTTAGGAGTAACACTACTGTTTAAATGAATGGACTTGGAGTGCTTGTGAAGAAATGTATGATGATCAAATTTCAAGACTACTGCCAGTGATCCATAGATATAACACGTTACTATTAAAATCTATATGGTACAGAGATGTTTTAAAAATTTGTCAAGTATCTATATCTATATTAGGTACAAACAGAAAAATAACCTTTTCCCTTTAGAGTAGGTAAAATTACTACTCTAAAACAAACCAATCTCCTTACATGGTACACACACCAAAAATACCACCGAATTAACGGTCGAAACCTAACTCATCTTTCTCATTATTAAAGTGGTAAATATTAATTTGGATATCTTGAGATGAAATGAAGAGTAGTTTATGCTCAACAAGTGAGATTTATTTGAACACATAAATATTGGTACAAGATAGCGCCAGTACATATGCTCCACACAAAACAATGAGAACTTGAAGAGAAAGAAAAAAAAGGTTAAGAGCGTGAAAAAAGAGAACAATAACGAAGAGGTTGGTGTAAGGTAGTGTAGTAATAATGAGGGGACGGAAAGGTACAATCAGAAGAAATCTTTCAGATAAGGGAGATAACCACTTTTTATGGAGAAAGCAAAAGAAGGTTACAGCAGGACCGCCACTGGCTTCTATTCTGAGCCATATATGATAACGTCTCTAGCCACTGTGTAGCACCATCTCTCGGACCCCAACCAGGTAGTCGTGAAGGATTTACAGAAGCCAGTCCTTTGCAACTTTCTTTCATACCACGACACCATATCATACACTGACCACCTCCCCGCTTCTTCCAACCAGTCCCAGCGTCGGCATATAATATACGACGTGGAATCCTCTGGAACGACATTCGTAGAACATGTCCAAGCCACCGAAGTGGGTGTTTCAAGATGGTGACACCGATTGCATTATCATCTTTGTGCCCGAACACACGATGCCGAACCTCTGCAAATGATGAACTCTCAACAAGTGAGAAGTTGGAAAACAGTCAAACAATCATACGTTAGTAGGATAGTCACTCGACTCCTTTGGGGTGAAGTATACTGTAAACTATATGGGAACCTTTTGCGGTGCAAAGACTCCTATACTGTACTTGATTTATTGCGAATATATTAGAAAGAACAATAAGCAACGAACATTATTACATAAAAAATCAAAACGGAATTAAGATTTTTTCGAATTATACTTACGTTTGGTGTGCACACAGGATTTGTGTAGTTTGGTTGTGACGGGTCACTATTAAATAAGTTACCAGATACTGGGGCGGTATCTCCTACAACGCGACTACCACGAGACCGAGAAACTGCCGGTGGCGGAGGAGGGGGCAGTAGACCACCCGATAATCCAGAAGTAAGGGGGCGTGTAACTTTTGATTTGGGATTTGGATCATCCCCTGTACGACGGGTATTCAGATTTAATTTTATTTTTTCC